TACGCTGACGCAAAGCATGATCGCAGCCTAACCGTGGGGGAGGGCCCACCTTTCAGCACACCAAATCCTGTAAACTGTATACATGTGAATACTTGTCAACCTCGTCAACACCCTAGAAACCTTGTTATAACCTGTCAAATTCCATGTTCACTCCTGTCAAACTTGTCAAAATGACTGGTCAAGATTTGAAAAAATTGAGAAATGGTGTTCTAATGGCGCCAGTATTTTTTTGCCAAGCTCGACAGGGCGTTCATACTTTGCGCCAGATTTTTGGGCGTACGTCAGTGTTTCGGGGAGGCTTGAGCTTTTGGACCGTTACTAAAACGCTAGATCGATATCTAAACTTTTTCTCCGCGCGCAAATTCCATTCCTATACGTATACTTTCCTAGTCGCTCGAAACGGTGCGGTACGCTCAAAACGCTGAGGAAAAGTATGAACACAGCCTGACAGAAGTTCGCAGTGTACTTAACAGGAATTAACAGAAGATTGTGAAATTATAAAGGAAAAATGATAGACAAAGAACATGAATGAAAAACCTCACAGGGTATGCTCACGCCCCAGTTTATTATAGAACCTGTCGTCATTGCTGATACAGTATACCCGCCCGCCTGATGAGCAACATAATTGGTCGCCAAACATCTCTCTCTTTTGACAAAGAATAAATTGAAAAACCTCACAGGTTATGCTCACCCCCAAGTTTATTAGAGACCCTTCGTCATTGCTGTACCAGTATACCGCCGCCTGATGGCAACATAACTGTCGCCAAACTATCACAAACCGGGTCAGGCGCGCGCCAATAAATGCTGATAAGTGCAAATGCTGATAAGCTGTCGCGAAAAGCTGTCAAGCCGAAGGGGCCAAATGGGGCTCTTGTAATGTACTGTTCAGCATAACCGCCCAACAAGCGAGTGACCCAGGTTTGAGCCCTAACTGGAGTCAAGTTTTGGCCCATCACAAAAGTAATCACCAGTACATGAGGCTGCGTTTACAGTTTGCGAGGTTGGAAAATAGGAAAATGTGAAAATGTAGGGAAAGATCGGATGCGAATTGATGGACTCCACCGTGCTAGCGAGATGGGAGAATAAATGGACAAGAAACTGGAGCCGATCGATTTCCTTGTGATTTTTCGGCGGGTCCACTGTTCTTTCACATCTCTAGATCAATACCTACACTCTCCTTAGCGGACCCTCTTCCATTTCCTCAATCTCCTAATTTTTAGTGTCGCAAAGTAGAACCCAAAAGCATAACTGCTGGCGTAGTTCGTAACCGGCCGGGAATCGAACCTGGGCCGCCCGTGTGGAAGGCGAGCACTCTACTACTGAACCACCGATGCACCAAAATAATATGGCGGTCCAGCGGGTTTCGGTTGTCGAAGCAGAGATGAGTAGGGTAAAACTTTCGTTACTATTGATAACACCGAAAGTGATAATACGGGGTCACGCCCACGCCTCGATGACTCCGGGGCGCAGCGTAGAGGGAAAGTGACATCGGGAGACGACGACACAGTGCACAACTGTAGAGTGAATCAATAGAACTCATAAGTCAAAACTGCAATGAATGCACAGAAAGAAGCCTTTACAATTAATATCAGGTTCTCCGGTAACTAAGGCAAACGGGTGTCCGAACTAAAGTATTTACGCCAGCGGTGCCCATCAATACATCTGCACCACTTCCAAGGTCGCTTTTGAAACGGAATAAAAAGGAGAACAATGAGTCAGACAATGACAATGTTTGATGGACGCATAACTGCTATGAGAGCAAAGGTAGTGACGGTCAATGGGCCATGTCTTTGATGGGGAGCCTTTTAACTTTGGGATAAGAGCCACGTATCCCTGGTGTGTGACAAGAGAATCGTAATATGCTGCACTGGTGAGCGTCGCGAGCGATGTCGCGCCAGACAAACGAATCGTCTGTTATTTGACCGTTCCACGTTCTTTCACATCTCTAGATCAATACCTACACTCTCCTTAGCGGACCCTCTTCCATTTCCTCAATCTCCTAATTTTTAGTGTCGCAAAGTAGAACCCAAAAGCATAACTGCTGGCGTAGTTCGTAACCGGCCGGGAATCGAACCTGGGCCGCCCGTGTGGAAGGCGAGCACTCTACTACTGAACCACCGATGCACCAAATAATATGGCGGTCAAGCCGGGTTTTCGGGTTGCTTCGAAACAGAGATGAGTAGCGTAAAACTTTCTTTACATATTGATAACACGAACAGGTGACTAATACTGGGGTCACGCACGTCCTCGATGACTCCGGGGCGGCAGCGTAGCAGGCGAAAGCTGACATCGGAGACACAGTGCACAACTGTAGAGTGAATCAATAGAACTCATAAGTCAAAACTGCAATGAATGCACAGAAAGAAGCCTTTACAATTAATATCAGGTTCTCCGGTACTAAGGCAAACGGGTGTCCGAACTAAAGTATTTACGCAGCGTGCCCATCAAGACCATCTGCACCTCACTTCCAAGTCGCTTTGTGAAACGGAATAAACAAGGGAACATGAGTCAGAGCAATGACTAATGTTTTGATGGACCATAATCAGCGAGCGACATGTCGCCCAGACAACTCGTCCTCGTTTGATTTGACCTTCAGGGGGGGGGGGGTGGGGCAATTCTGCTTAGGGCCTTCCTTGGAGTCTATTCCGCTGAAATCTGCCGATTTTCGCTGCGTGATATCGTCAAACCGAGGCGACCTATCGCACGGCATGCCGTTCGCGTCGACGCGGTAAATGCCGATTGTCTTGTCCGTCTTCCAAGTGTCCCAGCTCGTTTTTGAATTGCATGACATTCTATTCAGAAGCGATTTGACCTTGAGGCAGCCAATGCCCACCTCAGAATTCTGTCTGATGAAAAGTGTACCAATTAGTCCTGCCGACAAGGATGACAGACTGGTTGACTGAATAGGCAGGATCCTCACGAGCAGTACGCTGAGAATCTATTGCCTTGCCTGTAGACTCTTCGAGATGATTCGGTATATGGTTTTCGTATCTTCCAGTTACTAAGGCCCATTAGAAATCACATTCCAAGCTGATCGGTGGGGTTTGGAAGTATCGCCTAAATTCCATTATGCTAATTAAGTGTAAGGTTACGACCCTGATAGCTTTGCAGTGGCTTTCGGTTTTGCCCTATCCAATCTGAACACACAACGATGCTTCTTTATTTTTTCGTAATACGATGCACCTGGTTCGCGCGCGGGAATGTTGGCGGGCTTGTTTGGGCGGGGGCGGGGGGGGGAGGGTGAGGGGAGGTTCGATCTGGCAATGCGCCAACTCGTTCTTCACCAGTTGTTGAATAGGGCTAGCGACAACAATTAGCGAAGAACGAGTTGGCGTCGCGCCATACTCACTCCCCTCTCCCTCAGCCTGCTGTTCATACTTTGCGTCAGCGTCCGCAGGCATTCCCAGCGTACGCCAACGCCAGCGAGTAAGGAAGTCTAGATATCGATCTAGCGCACTCCAACGTCCACCAGCGTTCAGCGGAGTTTTCGCGGGCAGTTTTCCTCAAGTTAAAAATGCGAAAACCTGCTGTACGCTGGCCTCGCATATCGATACCTAGGCTTCCCTAGTCCCTCGAAACGCGCGCACGCTCGAAACGCTGCCGTACACTGACGCAAAGTATGACGCATCTTAAAACGCCACAATATCTGCAGCGAACAAGACTATCTACTAGTCAGGTAGAAACGGCGCAGTTTGTCGACGGGGGGCATTCTGCTTTCCATAGATGTGCCCATCTAGGTAGCCTTTTCTCGAGTTGACACGTTTTAGGATGGTGGCTAGACGGCTTGCACCAGCTTCACAAGGGTTCACAAGTTTTACCAGGGTGAGATTTGTAAACCGGAACTAGGGAAGCAATGGTAGTACAAAATGCCCCCCCCCCCCGTCGACAAACACCGCCGGTAGAAACTGCACAAACACATCACGTTGACAACAAAGGATAAAGCGGGTGCTACCCTACTACTAGGAACTACCAACACAGAAGGCAAGCTCTTCATTGAAGCAAAAACAATCATCTAACACAACGCATCGGCTAGTTGAAGTCAGCTAGTGATCACATCAATGTGAGGTAACACGCTGCTTCACGGATGTCAATTATTACAACTAACCCTATATAAAAGCCTCGACAGTCACATCAAACTAAACCTATCCAACACTTATCTCGGCAGTCAACAATATAATTCTGTGAGAGTGCGTTCATACTATGCGATTTCCTCGCTCCGATCGCACGAGCGATCTGCTCGACCAAGTCGCTCGCGCGATCAGAGCGACGAAACTGCGAAGCATGAACGCACTCTAAAAAAACCAACACATGCTATTCACTAGGAACTGCTTCAGGCACTCCCTCTATACGGACCTAGACAATATTGCGGCTGTCGCGAGATGAGTTCCAGCAAATAAACTACGAAGTAGTATACCGACAGTGTAAAATAAGAAAAATTGCTAGTTACTTGTCTTGTTTCGAATCACAACGACTAGTGACGGGTCTAATTCAGGATATCTGTGCCGCGGCATCGTATTCAAACTAGCTAATGTCACTAGCTAGTTGACTCAACACTATGACCTGGCGCCAAACCAGTCACGCCACGGTAATCATAGTCCTGCACCGCTTATTTCACGACATTATCTCAAAAGAATTTTTACAGTGATTAAAATGCACTGTTAACTTCTCTTTCGTGTTCTGAGGGCTATTGGAAGAATGAATACTGTTCAGTAAGCGGTACCGTGGACTAATGGAGGTAGTGATTACTCTTCAAAACACAAAACGGAATAAAGCAGTTCATCGATTGCCGAATTTTTCCACGTAAAGGCATGGAATAAGGGGTACAGGACGTGGGCTGCCATGAGCCAACTAAATTGACGCCAAAGTGCTTCGTCAAGTCATCTAGCTAGCAACGATAGCAGGTTTGAAAGCGCGGCTCGGATCTCCTGAACTGCATCAACGAGCGATAGGTATTGATTGGTTTACTACTGTCGCTATGACCGCAACCCGAACTTGCGATCACCCGTGATCATCAAAATCAGTCAATACCCATGGCCCAGCACTGTGATTCGAAACTGACAAAATAACTCTGCTCTTTCATACTTCACACCTCGAAAGGCTTTTAGAAATCTAGTACATCCGTCTGGATAAAAAGATACAACAGAAGCAACGCCGACGAGTACATTATCGCAGATAAAATTTCATAATTTTCATAGATAATATTAATATAAATTCAACAAGACAGCTTAGGTTGATGTCGTCGTAGAGTAACCAAGAACGTATTTGAATAATTCGTACACAGACCATGATAATGCGGTCGCGGGCACCTGAATTGAACAACATCCATCATTCACTACTAAAATACCGCACTTTCAAGCAGTTTTTGCAGCTGTACGGAAACAGCTGACGTCATGAAAAAGCAAACGACGTCGCGTACCTGGAAAATGACTCGCGCTTGCATTCCACAAGTGAAACCAGCAAGACCTCGTTGTGAGTAGATGATTTTCAAAGCCTCCGGAATGTTTCGGTAGCCAACAGCGTTTTGCTGAATAAAGAAAGGCATCTGTGAATATGACTCGAATAAATTAGTTGCATAACTCAATAGGCAGTGACTCATCTACGCAAAAGCGATTGTTCGGAATTGCTCACGTATGGTCTTTCCAATCAGATTTTCCTTCTGCATGGGCACTCTTAACACCTCTCTCTTCTCTCTTTCGGACTGGGCTCAATGTTGACTTCTCTATGTCATAGAGGAAAAACCCGGAATATTCTATCAGACAAATCCACAGAGCTTCATAAGGAGGGCGTCCAACCAAACCGAGTCCATACTTCGCGACTAGAAGGATTTAGAAATTGCGCGAGAGCGACCAATCGAGTTTCATCGCTTAGTATTGGCAGCTCCCAACGCCCAACAGTGGAGCGCGATCAATAGCAGTCGCGCGATTCCTAGGTCGTAATCGCTAGCGTATTTAGTTACATACAGCAGGCAATCCACGGCGACGAGTTCTCACCACGGGGTCCCTGTCATTACGTCCAGAAAAGAAGGACCGTTTACATATCGCCTGGGGCGCATTTTTTCCATAGGCTCCGTGTACAAACTCACCCGTGCGCGTATGCGGCGCGGTTTCTTCACGGCACCGCGGCGACGGGCGGGCGAAGGGTGATCGCTTGCGCCTCCGCCACTG